TACATTCGATTTATGAATTTTGAGTAAAGTAGACATAAACCCTTTGGTTTGAGTTCACTTAAATGTTACATTGTTAGTCAACTCCTTCTTTGGAAGATCTCTAAGATGTTTATTTCAAATGTTAATACAACATTCTTCTTAGTACTATCCGACTGCAGTCTTACTGGATCATTCCGAATTGTCAGCATTTTATTCACATATTCATTTTGGTTCATTATGACAACACCAGATCCTATATTGGTTGGTTACGGGAGTGCAACCAATTTCGTGTTATCTAGTCATGGGTGCAGACCGAATCCTATCAATCATTTTTGCAATGTGGCCACCAAGGCAGGAGGCTCAACATAGCGGTGCACATTAGTAGGTGTTAGTTAATTGGAAGCAATCGACAGGAAGCCCTGGAGCTAGGTTCTGTGCTTTTTGGCACTCGTCGGCACGGCGTATCTGCAACCTCGACGAAAGTGATGTCTCGCCTGACATTCGAACCTGGGTCAACCAGCGTTATAGTCAGCGACTTTATCACTGAGCTATTCGGGCCACGATTCACCTCCTATAAGACTGGGTTACACGTATTGATTGGTCACGGGAGTCCAGGGCTTCCTGCCAACTGCGTCTAACCAACTAAATTCTACTAGCGTGCACCGCGATGCTGAGCCTCCTACCTTGGTGGCCATATTGCAAATATGATCGATAGAATTCGGTTTGCACTCATAACTAGACAACACGAAATTGGTTGCACTCCCGTAACCAATCGATACGTGTAACTCAGTGCTACAGGAGATGAATAGTAGCCCGGATAAATCGATGGTAAAGTCGTTGACTACGACACTGAGTGATGCGGGTTCCCATGTCAGGCAGGACATCACTTCCGTCGAGGTTGCAGATATGCCTTGCTTACGAGTGCCAAGAAGCACGTAACCTAGGTCAAGGGCTTCCTGCCGATTGCCTCCAACCAACTAACAACACCAGATTATTTGTCACATCTGAGCATAACAATATCAACATTTACGTGTAGTTTGATAATTTTGTTACCACTTAACTAACAGACCAATAGAGAGTGAAATTATCATTCGAATTCTGTAAAGTTTTACAAGGCAAAGTGTGAAGTCTGGAATAGTGTAACCGCTTTCTAGACTTAATTTATGAGAATTAGAATGTTGTCGTTTGAAGTAATGTTAAGAAACTCTTCCTATCTGATTTGATATGTAAATTATAGTGTACTTCCTGAAAATTTAATCACTGCAGTAACGATTTCGTCCACACATACTTGAGTCAATGCAGCAGCTGAAAAACAGCAGTTATTACTTTGTGTAGAAGAGCGTAACTGTCACTTAGCATTGTCAATGAGTGATGATTGAAGGTGAAACGAACATTTGGACCGCAGCCGGATTCGAACCAGCGACCACTGGGGCTTCTGGCTCGATGCTCTGCCGACTGAGCTACGAGGTTTGACTGTTGATCAGATTTTTATCCCACTTCACTAGCTTCCTAGTCAAGACGTTAAATAAAGATCTGGTCACCAGTCATACCACCATCTGTCATGTGACGGCTACTGATGATACTACCTGGCTGCCAAAGCGTCGTTAAGAGGAGGGGTGATCGAACCGGTTACCCGCTGGCTGAATGTCAACGACCTAAACCAATGAGTCACCGTTCACGGTAGATACAACCTTAACTTATACTGGATGATGATTGAAGGTGAACTGAAAATTCAAACCACAGCCGGATTAGAACCAGCGACCACTAGGTTTCCAGCTCGCTGCTGTACCTATGAAGTCCGTCTGCTAACCAGATTATTTCATTTGCATCACCAAGGGTTTTGCCAGACTAACATGTGAATTCGTGACGCGTTACTATCGCTTGATCGTACTCACACTGGCTGCCTAGTCAGGACTTCTCATGTCAACTAAAATCTAACTGAATCACAGAGGGGGATTATCATATTGATTATCGTTTGACCATCTGAGATAGCTGTGGTTTGGCAGACTACTATTGATACTCAGTGATAATTGAAGGTGAAATGGAAGTTTGGACTGCGGTCGGATTCGAACCAGCAACCACTGGGTTTATGGTCTGCTGCTGGTTTTAAATAAAACGTCATAATGTACATGCTATTTACTAGAAATGTTTTACAACAGATATATGGAAAGATCTGAAATGTTTTCAGTAGTTTACTGTTCACCTATTTCGGTATTTCATAAATGATACCTAGAACAATACTAGAACTATAATGGGTAGCATTAAATAATAAATTTATACTGGGTGATGATTGAAGGTGAAATGAACATTTGGACCGCGGCCGGATTCGAACCAGCGACCACTGGGGTTTCCGACTCGATGCTATACCAACTGAGCTAAGAGGTAGAGCTGGTAGCTGGTTAGCATCCGCCTGCGGTTCGAATGTTCATTTCACTTTCAATCATCACCCAGTATATATGCTAGTCTGTCAAACTGAGGCTCTCAGTCAAATGATGAAATAATAAATTGTTACAACAAATTCCTGACTACTGCTAAACACTGAGTAGTACTATACCATTTGCAGAAATTGCACATATCAAATCAATTATCATAATACATACTATCATACACCGCTTAAGTTGTACTTTCCATGCTTAGGGTAATTCTAATTATAAGATTTTGTAAAGTAGGACTTTAGAGTGTTTCGCTGCTTACCTGTGACATCAAACAGAAATTCTCTTTTTCTACGATGAAACTGATTCTAATCATCGTTAGTTACTTCATAAAATATGAAAACATTCCAACAGTGTTTTATACTGCATAATTTCGGCATAGTGAAACTGACAAAGTAAGTAACATTCATGTCACATCTACAGCCTTATATACCATGTCGGCGAGGATGTGAAAACTTAGGAATTAGGACAGTTCTACATAAGAACAACTGTCTAACTAACTATACATGAAGATGGCTCGAATGGGTATACAGAAAAAAACCTGCGGCTAGTTCATGCAAAGAAATATGAGGTCAATAGACTGACTGCTTTTATAGGATGATCTGGATTGAGTTTGTGAGACAAAATTAACTCACACCCGAATGCCTTAGAGGGTACTGATCACGGAAATTGACCAAAATAGTATACTAGCTTGTACATCTTTGAAATCTCACTTTTCCAATAAGCTGCTTATCCTATATCTCATCATGGTGAGTGAAAAAATCAACATAGAACCTTGCACTTACGTGCATCGACTCATGCTGCCACACTTCATAGAAGTACACAAAGAACAGGTGGATAGAAAATGAGCGATACCAAAGTAGATAAAGTAGTATGTGAGAATAAATAACTTGAATATTCAAGCTTTAGACGATGTCAAGGAGTGAATACATCTGCACCATTGTCACCGATTTTCAACCATGTCATCAAGAGTCCCCAACCGCTGATTCTTTTCGTCTCGGGGACCCCAACCAGGCAGTCCACATCTCCAACACGGCTCAAGCCAACCTTAAGAGACTTCATCGACTGGTGTCACGTCTTGCTGTGGCCACACTGAACCCTTTTCCATTTCAATACAACTTCTTCTAGTATGGGACATTGAGGTAGACGGTGGGTCGGCAAGTGCAGTAAATGTCCATACCACCTCAGTCGACTAACGTTCATAACCTCATCAATCGACTGCCTGTCTTGCCTAGTACCGTTCGCCTGACCTCAACATTGCCCACACGGTGATTCCACCAATGATACAAACACATATATCATCAAAACCCAGTAATTGCTTCTTGTCTTTTAGAGCCGTATAGCAGGACAAAACGAACTGTAGAGCAATATAATCATCCTTTGATAGACAACCGGATATCTCAATAAACATGCAGCCTGTGACAGGAAATAAATTCCACCATTATTAGTTGACGCCGGTAAATGCCAAGTGATTCACAGTGCAAAGCTGAGATCAATAATGCCTTCAAAGTGAACACAGGAGTAAGACAAGGTTGCCACCTACTACCACCGATCATCTTCCTGATTGTGGTCGACTCGACTGGATTGCACTGGACTGGATCATGCAACAAACTGTGAGGAGTGAGATGATCATACGCTGGCTGCACCAATTAATAGACCCTACATGATTTGGATTTCACAGATGATGATGGTGATTTATGCCTAATGTCTTATGTCACACAAACTCGAAGATGTACAGACGAAAACTAACAAGTTGGCAGAAGAGATGAGGCAGGGCAGCGAAGGAAGATGCGACTTCGTTCAGGTGAACGTAAAGAAGACACAGGTGACGACACTCAACCAACAACAACAAGGACCAATCACCATCAACGAGTGAAATCTAAAGGAAGTTGTCTGTTTCACCTACCACCTAGGCAGCATCGTTTCAACTACAGGTGGCACAGACACAGATAAGGATGTCAAAACCAGGATAAGAAAGATGGCAATACAGGCCTTCCTTCATCAATCTGAAATCAGTGTGGAAATCTACTGCACCGCACTCCACTCAGCATAAAACGCGAACAAGATCTGCATTTTCAACACAAATGTCAGTCAAGTAAGTCAATGCTTCTATGTGATGGTTGAGAGAGGTGGGGGTTACCAAAAGCGTTTGCAACTAACTGCAGACATATATTAACAGCTCCCGTTTACGCTCACTCGATACTCACACTCAAGATCAGATCAGATGGCCAGAATAAGAAGAATAAGCAACATGGAACTCACTCCGGCTGGCCCGCAACCAACCAACCAACCAACCAACAACCCATCGCCCAACAAATATCTAGAAGAGGGGATGGATGTGATTGAATATACACTGAGAAGACTGTTTGGGGACATCACGTGCCAGGTCAGGCCCTCGAGTGGAATCCAAATGGGGAACGGTGAGTTGGCCGTGCGAGGTGAGGATGACATGGAGGAGATGGTGTGAGGAAGAAATGAAAGCTTGTGAGCAGTCGTGGAGTCAAGTTCCAGTGATTACAGAGGGGAGAGTGAAATGGTGACGTGCTACTGAAGTCTTATGTTCCACTAGAGACCCAGGGGACAAATAATGATAATAATAATAATTATTGTTATTAGTTGATCGTTCACAACAAAACACAGTAAAACAAGTGTCTTTATGACATGCGCCGTTTTTAACCTACAAAAATCAACGAAATTAATAATAAAGCAATGAATACAGTTATATGCTTGAAGAAAAACCTCTTTTATAGACAGAGATACTAGAGTTTCACAAGTGAAAAGGTTTTTAAATACTATTATGCATAATCCTGTGTTACACACATACACACACACACACATTCATTTATGAACTAATTTCACGTGTCTTTTTAAATTACATGATTGACGGAATCTGGCACTACACTGTGTACACTGATAAGGTTTTCCACCGGTATGTATTAATTCATGACTAGTTAAACTGAAACTTTGAGTAAAACCAACACCACAGAAACGACATACAAAAGGTTTCAGCCTTTTATGAGTTCTTTCATGTCTAAGTAAAGAGGAATTTTTAGTGAATGTTTTCTTACAAGTAGAACATTTAAATAAACGCTGGAAGTTTTTATTAGATAAATAATTTACTGTGGATTTCGATTTAAGTGTTACACTTTTTATAGGATTCATAACTGAGATATGATTACTACTGTTTCTGGGGATTGATGTATTAGGCATTAAATCATTCGTTTGTTTTCTGAGCTCAATTTCAACAGGAAAAATATCCTTACATGGTACATAATCAAATATATTGTCTGTTGAACATAAAACAAGTTGGTTAGCATTACAATCATTATTGTTATTATCATGATTAGTGATTATATTAGTTACTTCATTATTGACTGGAGTTACTTGTTGATTGAGTTCACTTGTGCCAGGAATTGGATTAAGTAGATCCTGACACGTTTGGTCATCAAGAATACTATTAAAACTGCTCGGAATATTCTGGTTTATCAGTTGTTCTTCAACTATGCCAGAATGATTAGAATTGGTAGGATTAAAGTAAACTGCTGAAATACTCTCCAGTTCACAACTGGAAGTGTTGATACATTGTGTTATGTTGTCTTCGAATACATTATTGACAACTTTAGTGATATTGCTAGGCATATCATCTGTGTATACTAGTATATCTAAGTATATAGTACATTTATTACATTGTTCTCTATTACTATCATCACAAATACATTGTCTGAAAGAATTATCAATTCTGACAGTCTCAGAAGTTGTTTCTGTTAGGATATTATTTTCATTCTCAGGTTGACAACTCACTTGATTTGTATTAGCTAACTGTTGTGAATATAATCTAAGATTAGGTGAATGAGATAAATTAACAATTGGTCTAAGCTTCATTTGACATTGGATCAAATGACGTTTCCTATGACTAGGATTATGAAAAACAGAATTACAATATAGACAACCATAACCTCGAGTACCAGTATGTAATCGTACATGTAGGCGTAAGCTACTTCTAGATGAAAATCTAGAACTGCATAAATGACATATAAGAGTTTGTTTTATTCTTAGCGTTTTATTCTTAGTTGTTTTATTCAGATTCGTCATCTCATGAACTTTAAATTTATGCTGACGAAGTTCACAATGTTTCATAAAACGTCGATGACATTTATCGCATTCATATGGTCGAATGCCATTGTGTACATTGACATGATATCGAAGATCTGATTTCCTTGTAAATTTACGATTACATATTGAACAAATATTTTCATTGATAATAGATGTAAGTTGCTGATTTAATGAATATGTAGTCTTCTGCTTTGGAAAACTAACCGTATTCTCTACACGTTCTCTGGCAGCCTAATAGAAAAAGAAAACAACATAAAATTAGGCAAATAATAATTGATTCTAGGTTGGGATTCATCATAGGCTTTATGGTGTTTTAGTAGATGCAGGCTCCTATTTTGGATCTTCGAGACATCAGGAACTGATAACGTAAGACTCTGCTAGCATTGTAGCGTCATATACTCCTCCAGCATCAATAGCCTAGGGTTCGATGAGATATAACATTTATGCTGACCTTCATAGTTTTATCGAACTAGCTAAGCTGAAGGCACACGATAAAGCATTCACGCCATTCGGCACACCGTCACATTAAGTTATACTGCTAGTAATCGACTCTCTAGCTAGCTAGTTGGAACGAATCGGTATTTTAACGCAGCCGCGTAAATACATTATTCTATCTAACTACGCTGTTATGTTCTTCCTTGGTCTCATATTCGTGGATATATTACGAATACGAATAATTACTGATTGGCCTCTGCGTCTGTCAAGTTCGCACAAGGACAGTTCTTAAAACATCACTCAAAATCTAGAATATTGTTAAACAAGCTTCTATTTTTTATCTTTGTTTCTACGGTCAAGATCTAACTCTTCATTTATTTGTTTTTCCGGAAATCTTTTCCCTCAGTTTGTTAATTGCTTTCCGGCTCATCATCAATATCAACATAGGACCAGGCATTACTGCGTAACGGTCCGAACTGCCACAGCTAATATCAGTACATCAAGTTAAAAGGCAGTGAAGTGAAAGATGAAGACAAGAAAATTCAATCAAAAGAAATACAAAGTAAGAGAAGAAAGGAAGAATGACAAAGTGGTGAGATTCGGTATAGCGTTAAGATGAGGATAATGTGTATATACATCTACACCAGTGACATAAGTTCTGAACCATATCACCTAGAGTCTCCAACCACTGGTTTTTCTTGTCCCACCAATCCCAACCGGCTAGTCTGCATTGCCTCACACGGCTCAAACCAACAGTCAAAGACTTCATACATTGGTGCAATGTTTTAGTCTGGCTACCTCGGGCCTTTTTCCAGCCTGGACCTACTTCAACCAACATTGTGTGACGAGGCAATCGGTGACTAGGCATACGTAGTACGTGTCCGAACTATCTCAGTCAGTGAGGGTTCACAACCGTATCAACTGATTTACCTCTACTCCCTAAAACTCTACACCAGACTTCTGCATTACTCACGTGGTGACACCAGGCAATACAGCCTGTACTACGAAGGCAACGGAAGTCAAACACCTGAAGCCTTCTGATGTCTTCCACCTTCAATGGCCACGTTTCACAGCCATAGAGTAGAACAGACCTGACTGCTGTGCAGTACACGCGACTGTTAATAGACAAACGGATATCACGGCGGCGCCATAGGTGGCGTAAATTGGCAGAATTGGTCGACACACTCAACCACTTCACTCTCAATTGTTAGCCGTGGCTTACCGATCATAATGTTTTTGAGCTGTACAACCATATACATATCCCCTAGTTATTTGACAACTTAAAAATTTCATAGATTACCGTATTAAAAACTAGTTTCGATCAGAAAAATAACGTATTCATCCGATACTTTTGTTACATAATTTTGTGGGGGTTTTAGAACCATTTTTATGTTTCTCTAAATTGTAACCCTTTACAATGACTTCGAATTTTCATAAGTGTTGTTTGATAAGCTTATTTGTTTGTATCGAAGCTGGTCAGAATTTACAGAGCCAATAAATTACGTCATTCTGATCATTTTCATAATCTTGTTCAACTAAATCATAACTTTAGGGCAGATTTATACTTACCTTAATCAAATACTTCTCCGATAGAGACAAATTATCTGATGGCTGTAACTTGGCGATTTCATCGACCAGATTGGAAGATAAACTTGATACACGATGTGTATTTATCTTTGAACTTGTTAATATATTGGTAGAGATATGTGAATTTTTATCATCACTTCCAGTTCCCTGCTCTGCAGTGGGTAATTTAGAAATGCATACATCAACACCATTTAAAATATTGTTCACATGGGATTTTAGACTACGCATCATCATAAATCGCATACCACATCTTGCGCATTGAAATGGTTCTGAATTAGGTAGTGGATGACAGTAGATAATGTGTCGACTAAGAGCTGATTGTTTACTGAATATGGACGTTGGACATAGTGGGCAATTTAATACACCATTATATTCTGGAGTATGTGTACGTGAATGACTTAGAAGTAGAGTGGGATTGACAAAACTACGTGAGCATGTAGAGCATGTAAACGATTTTAGTGTATTGTTATGAGATATACGATTATGATGAAGCAATTTTTCTGAATCTTCATAAACTACAGAGCATAATCCACAACCATACAGTTTTAAATGTTGTGTAGGTAACACTGTAGGTATACTAGAATGGACAACATTTGAAACTCCTTTTCCAGATACACGTGATTTATGGGAATCTGAACATGTTTCAGATAAAGGAATAGCTTTATCAATAGGACTAACAATATTGACCTGATCAGGATTAGAAGTTATTGCATTCGATGCATAACGAGAATTGGTAGTTGTTTGATTATTTTCCAATGGTTCAGTGTTAAAGATAACAGACTGAGTGTTAAATGAGGAGTCAACAATGAAATTCTGAGTAAATTCCGAGTGATCAACAATATTTGAAGCGAAGAGAACAGGTTGTTGATAAGTATCAAGTGAACTTTCAATAGGCACATCGATTGCATTAAATGCTTGAGATGGATCAATCACAAACATATCAACTGGTTCATTTATTTTATTTAATGAAACATTTTCATTGGAAAAACCATTCCATATACATATTTGCTGTTCAGAAAAATCATTAGGATGTTCAACAACAACACCTGAATTCGGTAAATTTGTAAAGTTAGTTAAGCTATGGTTGAAACTATCAACCGTAGTCATATCAAATGTTCGACATCCAGCAGTAGACTTTGATAAGGAAACAAAATTACTTCTTGAATTATTTGACGGTGATTCAATTTGAACTATTACTGACAAGTTATCTGGTTCCAGAGTATTAGATCCTGTATTGTTGTAGAAAGAACATTTGTCAACTGGATTCATAAATTCGCCTATAATAGTATATGGCTCCAAGCATGAGCCCATATTTTTTGACTCAGTTGAATTATTTTTATGCAAATTCTGTAGAACAGGATTTCTGTGACTAGTTGGCAAGTTAGTTGTAAAACATCCCGACAAACTTCTTAATTCGTCTTTATTTCGTTCGAAAGTGGAATGATTACGCGTATGCCTGCGACAAGAATGAAGAAACTGAAATCTCTTATGGCATATATAACAGCTAAATAACCGTTCGTTAGAATGCGTATCCATATGACGCTTCAATGCAGATGAGCTATAAAACAATGCTTGGCATATTGCACATATGTTATTATTTTTTACACACCGATGCAGTAAATTAATATGCCTTTTTAAACCCAAGCTGGACATGAATCTACGTGGACACTTATTACACTCAAATATGGTACATCTTCCTTGATGAGTCTTGTAAATATGCATTTTTAAACGATTAACTGAACGAAAACTCTTGAAGCAATGAATGCATCGATTAAATCTGTGTAGCAGCTTTCTTGAACATAACCTTTTACACTTATTATATGATTTTACGCTCAGTTTACTTTGTACACATTTCTGTTGCACACAATTTTTTGAATTATTCCCCCTATACTTTCTAGAACTTACCATGGGATGACGCAACATATGAATTGCTAGGCTTTTAGATAATTTGAACACCCTAAAACAAACTGGGCAACTAAGCACTTTAGGATAAGAACAATGTTTCTCATGATTCTGGTCAAGAATAGGTGGTGTACGATCATAGGCAGTTTGACTGGTGCCAACTTCATGAGCGGTAACTTCTGATGCCTGGTACTGAGGAATAAATAACTGCAGCACAACAGAACTCTGAGGAGGGGTTGAAGTGTTCACAGATGTTGCATTATGAGGCGGCAAAGTTAGGATATTAATAGATCCATTCACAGGAAGTGTCATATTTGGATTAACTTCAGGCATTTTGATTGTAGTATTTTTTTGTGGTGTACTTTCATCAGAGCATAAGGTAAGTGGTGGTTCCAAATTATGCTTCGTTGAGTGATAGGTAGTACGTGGATTGACTGAACTCATATGAAGAAGTAAATGTGTTTTTGCAGACGATTTCTGGGTGAATTTGGCGTGACACAATGCACATTCATAGGATTTATGCTTCGTGTGTATTGTTATATGACGTCTAAGTAAAGATGGTTTCAGGAACTTTTTATGACATAGTAAACATGAATAAGAAATCTTACGCTTTTTGTGTTTTGAGTTCGTTATGTTAGAATAGTCTTGGTTGATTGGTTGATCGCTAGGAATCTCGTAAATTAGCTGATCTAAAACTGAAAATGAATTTCTACCCTTACGACGATCGTTTTTAATCATAGTCGAAAGATAATCAGCTGCACGAAGTTTACTTTTTCTGACATTCCCTAGATCCATATCTACTGAAGATTCAGGATTAGGTGCTATATTTAACACAGAATTTCTTCCAGATTGCAGTTGATCAACGCGGTGTCTACGAAGATAGTGTTGCTTGATTTTACCAACAGAGGACAAAAGCATTCCACAAACATGGCATCGGTATTGAGATGGAGATTTAGTATCTCTTGTGTCCAGCGTGCAAGTACGTAGATGTTTTTCATACAATGTGATAGACTCGAACGGCTGTTCACAAGTGAAACAGACAAAATTCTCATCAATCTGATGGAGTAATAAGTGTGATTTGTAAGCAGAAAAACGAAGGAATCGTTTATCACATAAGCAACAATTATAGTTACTTTTATTCACACCCAATGTGTGATAGAGTGAAATATGGACATATAAATTTTCGGCTTGGTTAAATGAAGCATTACAATGTGAACATACATATGGTTTACCAGTGTTATGAATATTTAGATGCCTGGACATTTGGTCGTAAGAATTGAAAAGAAGTTGACATACTGGACAACGCAATTCAATATCTGTAGCGGGAACTTCATTTGAACCATAATTTGCATTGTCTACTTGACTGACCATATGAGATGAATTAGATATGAACTGGTCTGACACACTGCTATCACGTATGTCAACATGGTTCAAATTACATGATGTAAAGTTTGTGTGATTTAAGTCATCTAACTGCATGTTGCGAAGTTATGGATTGTCACATTAAAATTGATTCAAGTCATTGCTGGAAAATGTAATTTAATGTGTAACAGAAAAGGTTCAACCTATAAAAAGGCGAATAAAACACTGGTTAGTGAGATGAAAATTCAAGTGAAGTCAAACAGTGAAGACAACAATAATTCACTGGTGTCAGTAATACGTGTAAAGTTTAAGCTTTTGGTTTAAAAATGGTTACTACCTTAACAATAACGAAATAGACATCAAAGTCTGCTGCAAAAAATGTCAAGATTTATTAAAATACATTATTATCCTAGGCGAAATTAAGGTTTGGAACTCATTTCAAAAAGGGTTATGTTATTCTGAAACAAAAACCCTGACAAGCTTTTCTTACAGATTTTCAATGAACTAAAGAGTAAGGAAATTGTTACATAAAGATTAACCTTGGATTATACAAGTGACATGAGTAAATTGTTACTGGCCGTCAAGTTCGTGGTCAGCTTCAATGAATATTTTGACCTTTCAGCTTTAGTTAAAATCTGCGTGAGATTTGATGGAACTTTCTAAGTAACATAAAGATCTCCATTTAATCATTCATGATTGGATGTATCAGTTTGACAACTCCTGAGTCTAAGAATTAAGACAGATATTATAGTTCAGTGCTTGTTTAACAGGTTAATACGAAGAAAACAAGAGGAAGGCATAGTAAAACAATAGGGTAGTTTGACAGGCAACAACAGAAATTCGAAGAATAGAGATGATATTGATAATGATTACAATAACAAAATTACTTGGCATTCTTAATAACAAGAAGTGGTTGAGACAAGAAACGTAGCGATAAGTGAACAACATGTCTCTAGAATAGCACCCTATGATGAATTTAGCTTACATGTTACATATTTTGGTCTCGTTTAGATCGTTGATCATTTCAGAAGGAAGACTTCGTATTACAATTACAGGGGAATGTTTGACTATCGTTACTTAACGTCTAACTAGGATATGAAAGTAACGAAGTGCAGAAAACCAAGCAGAAGTTGTATCAGCCAAAATGGCTCGCAATGACTGACTATGAGTATATGCACCAGCCACCTCAGTTGGTGAAGGTTTACAAGTTGGTTGACTGACTAACTGTACTGTCTGGTTCTGTGAACCTAACATTAACATAGCTGAAATGATTATCATACTGTAGTTTTACCCAGCTGCTATAGAACTGAAAAAATGAACTACTATAAAATGGAAACTTCAGTAAACATCACCAAACTCAGAAACATGCGAATAATGGTTCCTATACGTCGAAATAGATCTCAGGTGGAGCACACACACCCAAGCATTTCAAAGCGTAATCTGTCACACCATTCACGATTAATAATTATCAAATAAGACCGAATTTCAAAACTACATAGAGGTAGTTAACACTAAGTCAGCAGCAGAAAGATACTCAGGATAAAATTTAATTTCGCTTATCAGACGTAAAACTAACTGACTTACAGGAAAGTAAGTAAATTTTCAGGTGTCTGCAAGTTTGCATGTTCATAATCATAAAGAGTTCAAAGGCGACGAAGTATGAAGTATTAGAGTGGAAGCTAATCTTCACAGTGTTTTTTTAACTAGTTAGTTACTGTTTCAGTTATTAACACCAAATTACTAACATCACGCCAAATCGAAAAGTCGAGTTGTAACTGAAGTAACCTGAAAGGGATTTATAAGTTATCCGGAATTTAGTAATAAGTTTTCGTGAATTATGACAGGAGATGCATTTCATTCTGACAACGTGCATTCTAGTACTAAACTTGAACCCAACATTCGGTTTCCTATTTATGAATCCACCTAACTTAGAAAATGTAAGCACAAAGAAGCCTGATAACCTAGTGAGTGTAGGAAAATAATATATCCTTTAATCTCTTCTTCATATCAAACATAGCTTCCGGCAAAACAGTCGTAATCCCTCATAGTTTGACAGTAAGGCTGATGCTCACAATCACCCAATGAGTACCTTAAGTACGGCTAAATTTCCCGACCCCACTAGGAGTAAAATAAAAGGAATAACTTTCTAACTGTTTATTATGATGCTTAAACCTGTGAGTATTTTGGAAATATTTCAACATGTTGTGATATGAAAGTAGAAGAGAAAGCATTCATCGAAGTTAATCACTGTATGTACGTGAAACATTTATCAGAGAGAAACAAAATTATGCCTTCACAACAAACTTGACTGGACACTGGCATCGAATAAGTATCGTTCGAGTGCGTGAGAGTAAATGTTTTGAGCATAACTCATTACCTTCGCGTTTACTGTGTAGAAAACGACACCCTTTGATGAGGCGGAGGGCTTTATCACACTATGCTAGGCAGTAAAGGGGAGAGAATATTTATGAAAAAGGTACTAAACGTCACAACCCTGCCTTGACAGCTCAGAGACTAAGCTAAAACCTAGGCAATAGCAACAGACCACAGTTAATGTGATCATGGGTTTTTATATTTACCATTTACATTTAACCAGATGGTCTGTAGCCATCAATCAGATACACCACTTAAGATATCATTTTTCAAGAGTACAGCATAAGCACCGGGAAGTCCATACAAGTTCATGTGCAGCCAATATCTGTAGACTAGGAGCTTTTCTTGAAAACGTTGGAGTGCACCGGGGTTGAAAATATAACAGTCCTAGGTGTTTTGCTCTGCTAAAAACTAATTGAGTTCATTAAAAACCAAACAAAAATAGGTTTTCACGGAAAATCGACTTAATAAATCCCGTACAACTCAGAAACTATTGTTCTCACTAGTTTTGAATATACGTATTTAGATTAACAGTCATGAAACGAATGAATAATTAAGCAAACTAATTCATTCTTATCTCCAGAAAACACTATTCCTCGACATTTAGTACATGTTTTTTACATTTGAAGACGCAACAAAAACAACACAACACTATTCAAGACATTTTGTGCGTCTGTGTGTAGTTAAAATTAGCATAAGGCATAAAGCTAGCAGGCCCTATATTCTACGATTGAGTAACCTTGAAGCCAAACTAACCGGGATTATTCCAAGATCCAATTACTGAGATAGAGATACTAAGGTTTGCAAGAGTAACTTTCCTTAAGTTCAGAGCTGTCTGCTGTTCATTCTCTTCTTATATACATGTGACTGACACTTACTGAACTATTACTACAGCAGCCTTCTTTGAGGATATTGGATGGCCAAACTGAAAATGTGAGTTGGTATATAAAAAGGTTTCCATTATTTTCACACTAAATGGCTTCTGTGAAAACCCTATTTAAACTCCTTTTTCTCCTCTTTGGAGAGAAATCACCGCGGCAAAGAGATGGATGACTGAAAACACTGTAGTTATTGCGTACACCTAGATATAATTTCACGAAAAATATAACTACCCCGTCGTTCGAAGTGTCCTATCTCACTAATAGATGAAATTAGAAATCACTCAGACAGTGCGTAAGCAATAAAGTGACCTTACATAATGACTTTTATAAGGCCTCTCAACCACCAAATCAAGCCTTGGCAACCAAAAAACTTTCTTGGGGCCTCGTAACTTACGTTGTTATCCAGCTAGGCTATTTAAATAAACTTCAGACGCATACTTTCCCACATACTGTAACAGCTCGTGACTACAGTTTTTTAGTTGAATTGCTCCACCCAACAAAGATTTTTAGGATGTTTCCAAAGGTTTTCAAGTGTTTCAGGAATCGGTAATCACGAAAGACGTTGCATAAAGCTGACAATGTGCGATAGAGGGAAAATCTTCATGGTTTTGATCGTCAGATCCCCACTTACAACACTTAAGTTTGCAAAATCAAGATTCATTTCAAGACTAGGAAACACAAAGTGTAGGGACCAGAAGATGATAGCCCGGTCAGAAGAAATAAGTGTGCTTTGAAAAGGTGGCTTCTTATGCTTACCACGTGTAAATTTTGGTAACATATTAATCGCAATATCTACTAGCTCCTTAATCAACTTGCCCAACATTTCCAGATAAAACGGACAAGATTTCTGTGGAGTGCGTAGGTCACGTTGATTACGTCCGAATAAGTGACGGTCCTTATCACGGGTTCTCGCGGTTACGCATTCTGGTCAACAAAAGCCCGACGATGAGTGGCTTTTTTAACTGCCCAGGCCTATCTTTATTTTTAACATCAGCCAGTCGGGAAATCGCATATTGCCTACGACCATGAACAAGCAGCCACGCTGTGGTGCCTTCTACATTTCTACCCTAAGCCCTTGAGTATGACAACTTATGTGAGCTATTCCCCCTTGTAGGTTGAAGACTTTACAGTTAGAGAAAACAAGGACCTGCCAAAAAGGTCGATGGTCTTGGTACAACTTCTATCTTTGGAGAAGACCAAACCTGCAGAAGTTGCAGAAGTAGACCAAAAAAAGTAAAATGATGATGGAATGGAATAGGGAGAAAGGAGAGTTTGGTAGGTCAAGTATGGGGACAGTGCAACATGCTTATTCGTAAGTATTACGGTCAGGCGGTGATTTTGGAGACTCCTCACATAATTAAACCGTTTGTGCCACCAAGTCCATATAATGACCCTCCAAATGACTTCATCGTGCACTACGAAGCAAGAAGTGAGTGCTTCACGGATTTTCACTTCCGAAAATCTCCTTATCGAGGTGTCATACGTGATACTGTTAGAAGCTTTTGTTAGGCCAAGGAAGACTGTGTGAACTGCCGATGGACTGTTCTAGCTATCTGCCTAGTCATCTCACAAGGTTAATAGCTTAGTGGTGCCAGATTTTTCATTCCTAAATATGTTCTGAGTCTGATGAGCAGTATTATTCCCAAAAATCATCGGCTACCAGACAGTTCTCTGTCTTAGGAATTATGAAAAAATATGGTGCATTTTTGTAGTTGTTTGGGTCTTTTGTGTCACTTTTATTTATCAGTGGCAAGATAACTTGTTCGAACGCCTTTTTTGTTTCCCTTCTCCTCAACGAGTTTGTTGAAAGGTCACAAAGGAGTATTCTTATTTCTTCAACACGACTGACCACACATATGATCCTACATCGTCACAAACAAGATATTTACTCGGCCCCAGTTTTTGTAGTCTTTCGAAAACTTTGCTCAGTGATAGTTCGATCTTTCAGCTTCCTTAACGTCTTCCGCGTTCGCCCTTCCGTGACAAGGTAAAGTTTTGAGGCTATCATTTGATAGTTGCTTACTGGCTTTGAGTACGATAGCTACTACCACGTTATCATTTCGACAGCGAATGGGATGGGAACACTTGTTCTCTAAGAGGGGAATTTCATTCGTTAAAGAGTAATCGCACTGTGATGTTCCCTTATCAACCCCTCACCGAACAGCTCTGCTGCTGAAGTAGATACGGTCTCTCAAAGTCATGACAGTACACTAGTCAGATCCATGTCAATATCCCCAGTAGGTTTCTCCGTGAATTTTCAGTTTCTGTTTGGTCTGGCGTCACGAAGTAAGTTTACTGCCTACTTGAGTTGGACATCAAGACTCGATTAAGGTCATACCAGTCAGAGCACCAACATACACGACTTTAGTGCCTACAAACCCCTAAGGTGTGGCCGGCTGCTCGTTGCCCTGAAATTATCAACATCCAGGCCACCGGTTTCTGAAGGGAGATAAGTCAGACCTTCAAAGGGTCAAGAATAGCAGGATTCAGTAACCTTTGGAAGGTGCCTTTTTATAACTGGCCGGTGTGATTCGGGTTCGACTAACTAAGATACTTGTGTGAGTCGATCCACCTACCTTGAGTAATGGCTTGCAGATCGTCGTGATACGATCTCATGGCTGCCCTATTGGCTGTATTGATCATCAGGTACCATTTACTAAGCCGACGAACAAAAGCATCCCCACCGTTTTATAGGGGTAGCCTATCTTCACCTATGTGGATGTGCCGTCAGGGTTTAAACTCATCTGGGACCAACAGGATGGGATTCCTGGTTTGTCAGGTAGCTAGTTTCGCTGAAGATTGGGAAAAGCACACCTAAATTTCCCAAAGCACCCTGCTGTGGAAATAGAACCGTGAATATAAAAATCTGTTAAGTCTCCTTGTCTCTTGTTGCAAAGGAAATCTCTGACACAGTTCTTAGCTTTATTGTCGATTCTAAGGCCTTTCAGGTTCATCCTTAAGCCTGGGTAGGAGACGTGCATGAAGCGTTCCTGAAGTCTGTGAACATTACATCAGTTGAAACATTCATATCACCAGAAGCCATCAAATTACCTTTTCCAGTTGTGAGACGTTTTTGGCACGACTGGCTCAACCTTAACTTAGGCCGTTCAGTAACTGAGATCGCTTTCTTCTCCACATTCGATAAAACTGGTATTTTGGGTGATCTTCTGCTAAAGCTTAGCTACCAAGTTTTTCAGACTAACTCGACGACAGTTAACTTCTAAGTGTCTGTGATCAGCCTTATATGCCGGACCGCGTGGCATTACTCATGCCTGTCGCACTCCTACTTTTATGCCTATGTCCTCATACAGTCCACGCAATCGTGGGTGCACTACGCCTGTCGAAAAACACCACCTTAAACCTAGGCCACAATCCTTTATGATACAGTACAGAAAGTTACAGAATAAGCTCCCACTCCCTGTTTCAGCTTCGACGTCTACTCAACAAACTCCTTCTTTTCACGGATATCCATAAATTTCTTGATGTTCATACTATATCCACAATGGAGCGATCGGCACGAAGTAATCATCGAGCCACTGCATCCACTGTGAACGTACATAGATCTCTAAATGTATGAATCTGAGACATTAAATTCCTCGTGCTCTTTTAATGCGAACGGCTTTACGATTGCATACAAGGGTGAGTACCGGCTCCTCTCCGTATAATGAACTTCATGGATACTGTTTTCCTCCCAAAGCCACTGTAGTACATCACAAATACAAAAAATTTCAGAACCTTCCAATCGACAAACTATGTAGTTGACTCCCTATGTATGAATGAAAATGTACATAAAGTCCAAATAAGTCAAAAAGAATGGGAGTTCCTCCCTTCCCGAGACTGGATGGCGTAGTAATTTCCTTTCCATACCTGCCCGTGCTTCTTCCTTCTTTTCCCATCCGTAGAAACGGCTCCATATCGACGTCTGATACTGAAATTCAGTCTGAACATGATTACTTTGTGGAAATAATGCCAGCTCATTGATGCCGATAATTATTGGACTGCTCCCACTCATTCGCGAATTCTGGACCATTTTCAAGATTAACTAACCTACCGGTCACGACTTTTTGTTTGTGACGAACCGATTAAACTTTCCAAACATCATTGGTAGCAGAGACGTTTCTAACAGATGGTTAAACCAGCGACCAATTTATCCATTGAATCGAAACGCGACCTACCTGCAGCAGCTGCACACCACATATTTTCTAGTACTCTGTATCAAGTAGTCTTTTCATATTAAAGTCAATATACAACAAATGCACCTTTTGAATGATGCTACTGACGCTAATGCAAAATTTACCCAAAGTCTATGCATAGGTACTGCCATTTGGATTATTATTATTAATAATAACAATATAATTCGTACAACAAAGATTACATCAATACCAACCAGTTTACAGGTTTGATCACTTTGGTAATGAGAGATGACTATCATGTACAATATTAGGCTACGCATCGGATACTGTTATTTGTGGCATATGAGAGGTGTGTTGAAGCAGGCTCAGTTCGAGTTTGAAGATTATCCAGTCATCGTTTGAATCATCCAATATTCTTGAAGGTGAGGCCGCATCACAGTCATGACCTTGGGGTGTGCGCGTTCGTCATCACGTTTTGATGCCAATATTTCCCGCTGACGAATGCGATTTGTAGGATTCCATTTGAATGCAGGACTGGTTAAGTAAATCTGAAAAGTGAATAACAAAAGCGAACAGCACGCGAAATTTGTAACAGGAGCACAAAAATACGCAGGAGTAGATCGACCATGATACATCTGGGTGAGTTTGTACTGACTATTAAACTTACTTGAGGAAGTGTCCAAAACCAACTGTTTAGAGGTAAGCTTAGGTGGAAGAAGATGAAGGTGCGCACGACAGTAATGAAAGTT